TTGAAGTATATTTGAAAATTGACAATTTTCTTTTGCATTTTTACTAATTAAAATTAATAAACTTTTGTGGAATTTTCTTCCTAAATATTTGACGAACATAATATTTTAGGTTTATGAAAAAGATTTGAGATTAATATCAAAATTGTATCAATGTGTAGTAAAGTAGATATCGAATATGATAGTAAAACAGCAAAAGGAATTACATTGACCTACATTGTTATGATAATTGGTTTCCCGAACAAAGGTTGAGTCTGCCGAAGCAGAGTTTGTATTTTCGCCTTCGAGTTTGAGTTGAGCATCAAAATAGCCAGGCGATCAGCGATCACAGGTAGCCCAAGCTAGGCAATTGTGCAATTTTTAGAAATATTTAAAATATAACAAAAATGTACATCTCTACCTGTTCATTGTATTTTTCTTTACATTTCAATTTTGAGCGATTTATGCTTGTTGTTCTCCAGCGTAACACGGTTCGCTTCAAAAAACTGGGCCCCGTGCATAACTTATTTAGATAATGAAAAACCTACCGCCAAATTCAAATAGCTTATAAAATTTGGCGCATTTTGAAATATGACATGTGTATTCATCTATCGTTCTGAAAAAAATGGCTTTAAGGGACTGTGCAATAATTACCGGGAGTTGGGGGGGTGGCGTAAAACCAGACGGGGGGGACATTTCATAAAATCGATGCCAAGATAGGTGCTGCTCAAAGTAAAATTACCTAATTTACATGAATAACAGTAAAATAAAAGATGAAAAATGACAAAAAAAAGTAACTGCTGAGTTTAGTCGCCATTAAGTATGCGCAATTTACTGCAACAAAGAACATTTTTCATAATTATATATCCTACATGAAAAGCAATGCAAGCCATTTTTGCTTGCTTCAAAACCACCTGTAGTTAAGTTCAATGATTCGATATTAAAGCTGAAAGAACTTTGTTAGCGTTGGGTTGTCTCAATGCTGATTACCGTGATGCATAAAAACGTATACTACATTGACACTATTGTTGTATCAGCTTTACAAGGTCAATAACCTGACCAAATRGACAGCCCTTATTGGAGTAATATTTTGTGAAATATTGAGTTTTACATTATCCTT